GTAGTAGTAATACATACGTTTCATCATAATTCAAATCGCTGACAAACAAATATAACGTAAACATATATATGCTCAATAAATAAATTATATACATAATAAGTAATGCCAATTAAAGCATTCTCCTTAATTTAATAATTATATTATTTATTATAATTATTAACTATCCTTACAAATAATGTAAATGAATATAAATCCTAGATTTTGCTTAATTAATATGAATTATTTGGAAATAATTTTTAATTAATTTTTAATTACATCATATAATATTAATAAAAAATTAGAGTAAAATTTAACATTCTGTTGAAGGAATAAGGTTTTGATTTCTTAATTTTGATGAACGAAGTCTAATTTGGAAATAAAGGCCTTTTTGTATCTTCAGAAAAGACGTAAGATTATGAAATTCTATATGTGATCACGTGAGGTTAAAAGATCAGTAGAAATACTCGATAATATCCAATTTATGTCATCAAACTTGTGCAATATCAGTAACCTCGGTATTCAAGAATCCTCAAACAAAATCTTTTTAAAAAACAATTCTAAGAACGTTTATTAAACTATTTCTACTTCGTATCTTTCATGATGTTAAATAGATATTTATTTAAGTGCTTTTAAATGGTCGTTTATTTTGGTATATTTACATCAATTTGAAAAAAATTTTATAAAAAATTTATTATGTATATTTAAGTTAAAAAAAATCATAGTGTTTATTTGTCAGAATCAATGGTATATTTAAAAAGGTGTATGTTAAATCAATTTTATCAAAAAAAAAAATTTGTCATAATTAATAAGGATATTCTATAACAGAAAATTCTTTTTTTTTTAAATAAGACACAAAAATTATAAACCTATAGTATAAGAACGGCCACCAGGATTATGGATAGGTCCTGGAAAAGGTTCGCTAATACACCATTCATACCATACATTTTTAGAATTACATTGACGCCAAAAATGAACAACTATTTGGTCCCCAGCTTTTAACTGTATTGGTTCCTGTAACGATAATATTTTATGTTACGTTTCGTTACGATATAATGATACAAATTTATCTTACCCTGATCGGGAAAAAAATAGGAAACCAACTAAACATTCCAGGACTATGTGTACTAGGTTTGATGCTTAATGTAATGTTATTGAATAAAACAGTATCAAAATATCCAGAAAAACCATGCAATACAGAATTTTGTCGTACTTTAAATACTTTTGTGTCATATCTTGAATTATCAGTTGCTGAAAACATAATAATATTTAAAAATATACATACATTATGTAATGGCATTATATTATTCAGTACTAACCATTATTTGGATGTTTAAAAGTAAATAATGGCTGTGGCTTTGCAATGTCATACTTATTTTGTAGATGAACTACGTATGAGGTCTCAAAATGCGCTAAAGTGTGTTTATCTTTATCTCTGCATTGTCTTACTTCATTGTACAATTTAGACGATTGTACTGGGGCAATATATGACGTGTATGAAGTTGGTATACATATACCATCAGCTGATGAAAAATAATATTAAAAAATTCATAAGAATAAATATAAAAGAAAATATATTATTAATATTTAATGTAATAAAATAATATACGTTTTACAAAGCGTTGGATGCCATCCAAACATTCTGGAGAAAGTTCATTATCACCAAAAGAACCAAGTAACTCTGATACTACAATATCAGCATTTTCAGGAGAGTTCCATTCTCTCATATCACAAGATACCACTGTTACTTTGTCCTCCCACAAATCTTTTTCCAATGCTTGTAAACTATATGCACAATAAATTAAAAAGATATATTTCTACATAATGCACGAAAAAGTTTACAATTATTAAATCTTACGTTAATACTGCATTAGGATTTTTTTCTACAGCATATACTTTAATTGATTGATTTGCTTTTTTTGCTGCATTTAAAGATGCACGAACAAGTGGTCCTCTTCCAGCTCCAACTACCATTATTACTCTAAAAATTAAAATACAATTTTATATTTTCAAATAGTAGTTTCATTTTCGTAATTACTTATAATTATATTTGTATTTAGTACATTTTCCTGCTTTTGTCTTCTAATTTAGACTTAACTGCAGAAATTGCTTGATAAATGGCCGTTTGATACTGTGAATATTTAACAGGATCCTTTTCAAATACTTCATATGTTTGAGATTCAAGATTATCCATAAGTGGTTGCAAAGGACATTGCAGGTAATCTTCATAACCGCGAGCATATCTTTCTACTGCTCCATCTGATTCACAGTCCTATATAAAATTGTTATAATAACAATATTTAAATTAAATCATTATTATTAAAAAATAGAAACTAAATATATACACATGTAAAATTTTACCTTCCATAAGTACTCTAAATAATTGTGATAATAAGTAATACTTTGATATCTATTTTGTCCTGTAAGTACAAATTGTACTTCTAGCATGGCAAATTTTTTCACTAATGCCTGATGTGCTTTACTTAGTACAGGATATCCTTTTTTATTTGTGATAAATAATGTCGTTGGAAAGATTAAACACTTAACTGGTTCTCCTAACCACCTATCAATCTTATAATTAAATTAACTTCATTACATTTGAGTTTTCATTTCATTAATTAAGTGCACAAAAAACAGCAATTTTTAGATACCTCTTCTTGATCAGGAAGATCATGACTCACAATTAATGCAACACCTAATTTTCTATTATAATCACAAACTATTCTGAATGCATTCCACCATTCCCATGGACTTTCTACTTTACCACAATCTTCTTCTCTGTAAGAATACGCTTGCTTGATTGGATTTTCCATAGGGACTTGAATCCAAACCTGTAATAATATTAAGACAACTATATAATAAGACAAATGTATAATAATTATAATACAATATAATAAATGTATAATAATTTGTTGATTAGTACCTGTAAGCTGCACATGCTTGAAACTTTATCACAGATAATTCGGCTAAGATTTGCATTTTCTTTTATTCCTTTTGTCAACTTAAAGGTAACTCCTACAAGACCTAAATGACTTGCTAAAGCTAACTCTTGTTTTAAAGTTTCTTCACTGTTTTTTTTTAAGCTGGGATTTTTAGAATCTACTTTAATATGTGGTGATAATTTACCAATGATTAAAGTATTCCAATCTATAAAATAGATAATAATATTAATTGTTGTAAGAGTTTCAATTTTAAATATACATACCAGAACTGCATAAAACTATGTCTGGTCTAGTAAATGGACCAGTACGCTTTTTTGCACTTCCAGAAACAAACTCTCTTTTAAATAATGGATGAACAAGTGGAACACACATAAACTCATATCTATAAATAAAATTTATATTAATAGTAATGAATAAATGAACAGTGAAATATATGTATAAATTATTATTTACTTTGACGAATTTGCTGTAAAAAGGCAATTGCTCAAATCAGGTGCTGCACAAAAATCAAGACCACAAGAAACTGGTCTTTGATTTGACATTATGCTTTATCATTAAACGTTAAAGTTGATTCCTAAAAGTATTATAAATATGAAGCATTGTTCAATAAATATCATTTTACTTTACAAACATCGAGTATATTGCCGGTATTGTTTAACAAAACGTTCACTACGTAATACATATAACTTTTTTTCTATATAACCATTAAAACACAAATACCTCAATAATATTGATTAGTAAGTTTATCAATAATGTGTTACAAATAAGAAAGTTGTAAAATTGTCTACATGCCAATTGCACGTGTGACACAATGTATTTTCGTCGAAAGCATAAATAAATACGTACTGATTTGAATAATTAAATGAAAATATTTAACGAAGACAAATAAAATATATGCAATTGATTTAAATATATAGAAATTAGTTAATTTACTTTAATTATATTTGAATTTACAAAAAAGGAAAATATTCAATTTGTACCTCAGTTTGTGTGTTTGTAATCAGTTGTTACATGGAAATTAATTTTGTACTTTATTTCCATAACATAAAGTATAACATATAATGCATTTTTCTTATTATAGGATTTGAAGATTTCTGTTTCATATAACATATTATATAAATAAAAGGAAATAAAACTTTTAATTTTTTGTGTATATTTATCAGATTGCAATGTTAACCAATCAAAAACAGTTATTGCTTTTGACATCGACCATTTTAAACGCTGCTTTTAATATTCTAGTTCATGGTAGACGCTTGATGACTCCATTTCCTTGAGCTTACCATTTTACCTCCTTTTCTTGTGCTGTGGTAAAAGTTTCTGCTTTTGTGGTACGTAGCCACTTATTTTTCCATTTCGAGTAGAAATTATGTATTAAAAATTTCAAATATTATTTATAGTATTTCAGTTTACAAAGAAAGGAAATTTAATACGATAATAAATCTTTTTGAAATTTATCAGTCACATTGTACAGCGTCATTTGGTATGTAAAACATAAATCGTGAAAATTTTGAATAATTTTTTTTTTCTTATGCATGTATTACTTATTTTACCTAAAATTGTATAATATACACAATTGTAAATTCTCTGGCTTAAGTAGTTAAATTGTTACAAATTATCTAACTTCTTACATCGGAAATAGACGTCCTTTTAGACTCCATTTATAAATTAAAAATGGGTAGTTTAGAAACTTGAGATTATGCAGTAGGATAATAAATATCTATATTATCATGTAAGAAATAAAACTTCTAATTTTAC